AGGTGAAAACACTAAGAAAATAGCTTGTATACTGAAAATGAATGTTTGTCATATATAAATTGCATCTAATACATTGAAGCTGTATAAAACCCAAAACAAGTAAAGAGGCTAAAAGAAGACTGAAGGAAAAACAGATCTCTTTTCAAGGATTTAGAGTCAGAGCCAGTTTTGTAACAGCAATCGTCTAATAATAAATGGCTGTTTCAAAAGGGCTGCAACAAGTGTACTTTATGCTCATAAACATTTTTTACCAAGACTCATCGGAAGCTGTTTTCAAATTAACACAAACATAGTCAAAATGGGTGAGTCTATCAACAGTTTCTATCAATGGATGCTTTCTCAAATTATCAGAAGGACTATAACTGACGAGAAGCCTGGGTTTCACTCTTTTTAAGAAGAGAATGACTCTCTCTTCATACTTTTCTTTCCTGTGTTGGCTGAGGAGTGGATACGGCAGGAGCAGTGACATAGGAGGAGAAGGAAGTTGCAGGCAGGGGGCAACAGAACAATCTGCTCCCTCGAGTGACCTCCTGGAGAAGCGTCCCTGCCTTCCACGGACACATGGTTCCTTCTGGGCTGTCCTGCCAGAGACAGGGACATATCACCACATTTAATTCACTGAATTTTAAGATTTCTTTGTAACAAGCTATGTGATTGTCATCTGAATGTCCCATACATCCTTTCTCAGTTTTCTGGAATCACACATTTTTCACAATTTTCTTTCAAGAGTGCAGCCCTTTGAGAAAGAAGCACCTGGTGTATATTCTATCACTGCCCCTAACCACCATAGGTGGAATTTGGTCTTCATCTCATGTCACACATCACAGCAGAACCGCGAGGTAAACTTTATACTGTCCACATTTCACTTTGTCCTTCTGAATTTCAAAGCCCACTTTTAAAACTTCAAGAACTCTGCTTTCAATCAGAAAACAGCAATTGAGGCAAATTAAACATTCTTGTTATTAGAATCTTGTAGCTATTATGAATTTATAAAAGTCCACTGGAATACTCAAAAGGGAAAATTTATCAGTAATCATTCCCAGCATATTCCTCCTATGGATAGGTTCTGTAGGATGCTGTCTCAATGATGTTAGCAAAAGAAAAAATGATAACGTGGATTTTAGAACTTGAGTAAGTGGAAAATACAAATTTCTGAATATGACCAAATGTAATCCTACAAAAAATATACCCCACATTTGAAATTTTCAACATCTATTCCACTTCTGTTGTATTGGTCTGCATGAGTTCTCTGGTTCTTATGCTGTTTCCTTGACAACTGGGCAGACAGGGAGGACCAGGATGTGCTGTCAGTCAGCTCTCCCTGTCATCATGGCTGGTTGCTCACAATGCACTTGCATTACCTCACTGTCCCTTCTACTTGTGCATCCAGAGTGGCTGGAGCCAGTGAGGCAAAGCATTAAGGGACCTGGAGAAGTCTTCCACACCGTCTTCCTGCATAGTTGGCAGAGTCCTCACCAGAGCATGCATTCCTGCTCCTTCTGGAACTTCCCTCACCCTCAACCTTAAGGGCCCATCCTGGAGGACAAAACCTGCACCTCTCACACCTGAACAGAAGACACGTGGGCAGCAACTGGGCCCCAGAGCTCACCCCTCTTACCCCATCTCCTTACCCAGCTGCATTGTCCTCAGCAGGGATCAGAGCATTAACAGCTCTAGGAGCTGAGTGAGTCACCTCATTCTTAGAAGCTGAACTGAGTTGTCCTAGTAAAGAGAGCAAGATTCTAAATGAGCTTTTATCTCAGACTTGCAGGGAAAGTCCACCCTAGTGGACACAATGCAATTTCCTGGTGGGTGCAACAGTGTGTGAAGAGCCAAGGGGAGGTGGCAGCTGTCTGGTGAGCAGTGACTGAAGGGTCTTGCTCCACGCTCCACCCTACTCAAGTCCACCCCTTTGGCAAGAAGCTGCTGCAGGTTCCTGCCACCTTGAGGTTAGTGACATTACAGTTCTTGCACACTGAGCTGAGATAGGAAGTGCATAGTTTCAACAAAGAACCACAGTTTTCCTGACCCTATCCAAGGCCCAAGTACTTATACAAGAATAAACACATCTAAGTTTGTTTCATGCCTTTAGCAACTGTCTCAGTTACATGGAGGGCAGGTCTGAAGCGTGGGCTCATGCTGAGTTGCAGCAGTGTTGGAGTCTGTGGCATGAATTGGCCCACAGGAGAGGCAGCTTCCACATCTGGGTTGCTCTGCTGCGTGAGCCTGTGCAGCTTAATAGTGGTATGAGTGTCATCCCCGGTCCCCGCTGGTGGCATGATAGTGAAGTTCTCTTCTTGTAAGCAGTGGTTATAACACACACACACACTCTCTCTCTCTCTGTCTCTCTCTCTCCCTTTCTCTCTCATCTGTCTCTGTGTCTATCCCCCTTCCTGGCATGTATGTGTATGTGACCACAGAGAGTAAAACTTAGACTGTATTATGTATGTATGTATGTATGTATTTATATTTATTTATTTATATTATGGATTATGTATTTAGATCAAAAATGTGCCCCTACAGTCTCATGTGTCAGATGTGGAGCTTTCAGAAAGTGATGGGAATGTGAGGGCTCCAACTGTCCCCATGGACTGACCCACTGAAAGACAGTAATTTTATAGAATTGGTGAGAGCCTATAGATTTTAGAAGCTGAGGCCTAGTTGAGTGGAGTGGTCATGGAGCCATGACCCTAGGTACTATATCTTATCCCTTGCACCTTCTTCTCTGGCTCTTATCTTTTTTCTCTGCTCCCTGACTGCCAAGAAGTGTGCAGCTTTTCTCTGCCACCCCCTGCTGTTGAGATGTTTCTGCTTCACTATCTATAGGCTGAAAAGAAATGGTGCCCACTGACCCTAGACTGAAATCTTGAAATTCTGAACTAAAACAAACTTTTCATCTGTTAAGTAATTTTTTTTAGGTATTTTGTAACAGGGACAGAAAGCTGAATACACAGAATTCCAGAGGATTGTTGTTGAAGTTGAAAAGATGTTCTAACATATAATAAGAGATAAATCTATAGAAACAGTAGATGCTTTTTGTAGCTGTACAGGGCTTAATTGAACTGTGAGTAAACGGAGACTTACTGCTAAAAGATACAAGGTTTCTTCAGGTGTGAAAAAAATGTTCCAATTTGATTCCTGTGATGATTGCATAATTCTGTGAAAATACAAAAATACATTGAATTATCACAATTTAAATTGATGAATTACATCGCACATGAATTATATTATCATAAAGATTTTATCTAGAATTTAAGACTGAAAGAGTAAAGAGACCTTGGGAGAAGAAAAATGGGAAAGTATACACAGGAGGTATTTGTAACCTGCATCTGACACCCATTGCTCTGAGATGTCCTTTGTGTATTATAACTGACATCTTTAGAATTACTAAAGAAAGCTTTGTCCTTATATGGGACTCCAAAATTTTGTCTTACCTCTGTCTGAATTTTATTCCTGTCATCCCTACTGAATGAGGTGGCAGGAATGACTAGGTGTGTGTGATTTTGTTTCACCTTTTAGTGAGTAAAAATGTCAGTGGCTTTAATTCATTCATAGAGATAAAAAGTGCTCTGCTGTAAATTGTTCTTATTCTATGAATGTTACATGATTTGGTTCCTACCTTCAGATTGAAAGGGAACCACTGTTATAATACAATGTACTTTGAGTAGCTTGGAACTCAGGTACTTTCCAGGACAAAAAGATCATGGTGACTCCTGCATCCATGAGGACACTAAGAATGCATGAACTTGTAAGCCCTTGGACTGCTTACACTTGGTGACCCTGGCACATCTATGACATATGGAAAGGAATCTATATCATTATCATTAGTAGTAATAGTAGTAATAGTAGTAGTAGTAGTAGAAAATTGATGAAACAAAAAATTTGGTAGGGTAAATCTCACATATGTATAATGTATTTCATTTTCTTGGTTGTTGTGTTTCCTTATTGTACTAGACATGAAATGCATATCTTTATAGGTGTCCACTTATGTGAGTCTGTTCTGATAACAGTACCAGGGAAATTGCTCCTGAACATGGCTATGCAACTGAGGCTGAGGAAAAGTCCAGCATGCAGTTGAAATCTTATCAGCAAAATCACAAGATTTTCAAATTGAAGCAGAAACATTGTGATTCAGCAGATACCACAGCAGCTGTCCATCAAGGAAACACCTGGTATGCACAAAATAATGACCATGGTCTCAGGGAGGTTTTGTTTCATGTTGAACCACTAAGGGACACCAATTACTATACTGGTAACAGTGATAAACTACAATATCTTCAGGTTCCAGGCTGCTTATGGTGAAAGCAAAGTCTATTCCTCTCTCACTGCCACTGAACCGGGCTGGGATCCCAGTGGCCCTCATGAATGCATCATAGATAAGGAGTTTGGGAGCCTTCCCAGGGTTTTGCTTGTACCAGGCTAAACTGCTGCCAATGCTCTGACTGGCCCTGAAGGTGAGGGTGGCTGTTTCTCCTGGAGAAAATGCCAGGGAGGCTGGAGACTGGGTCAACAGGGCTTCTCCAGTGGAACCTAAGATTGAAAAATAAAATAGAAATGTCACCCATGTAATCTAGATCATACCAATTGTCTTCTCATTGATCAACATTGAATTTTAATTACTGTGCTTATTGAATACAGATGCTAGTACATAGGAGCCAACTTTGAGAGTTTTCAGACAGCAAAAAACACCCCATATAGCTCTTACCTGGGACCCAGAGTAACAGGAGACAGAGGAATTGAGCCAGGCCTTCCATGGTTCACTCTAGTTCCTCCCTGGTGCAAATCTTCTCCAGAGCTCTGGATCAGGCCTTGATATGGGCTCTGAACACCACTGGGTGTTGGGAGGAGCACGCAAAGCAGCAGAGGCCTGATGAGCTGAGTTTGCAGCTGCAGAAACACTGGCCTGTTCTTGTCCACACTTGAGCAAGACATGCCCAGGTGGTCAGGTCAGAAGGCCCTTGGCACAGCCTGAGCCAGTATTTCTCCTCTGCAATCACACAACTTGATCCTGGTGCCTTTCTGTCTTACCAAACCTCTAGAGTCTGCCAGATGGTATTCACTACAAACCTATAAGAAACAAGACAGAAACCTATGGGGACATTGCTTCTCTCCACCTCTAATGTGACTAATTAGCTCCTTAGGTGCTTGACTGTGGCTGGCTGAGATAACTCTTTTTATGAGATTTGTCTCCCAGACATTCTTTTCCTTTGCCACTTTGCAATCTTTCCCAAGGTCCCTAATGCTGCTTTACCCTTGTAAGAATTTGCAAAGAGCAACCTTCAGTTAGGCTCAGGAGTGTGGGTCAGTGGACAGCCACAGCTGCACAGATGAGTAGCTCTGGGCCTCTCTTTCTTCATCATACTGATACCATTTCATTGAAATCAGGAATAGAACTTTCTATGTAGGCAAAGAACTATTCCTTGGGTGATTCTCCATACCATTCTCTTACAAGGTAACAATCAATCCAAATTCTGGCCCTTTCACCTTAACAGTCTTGGAAAACTCTGTTTAAAGTCCTTACAAAGTCTCTAAAACATCATGTTCACCAATGAAGTGTTGAGTATTTTATCCTTCAGAACAGAAAAAACAGGATGTCCTCTTTTATTCAAAATTACGCTGAAGGTACCAGGAAATGCAATAAGACCAGACAAAGTAATAAAATCCACAAGCTTTGAAAGAGAAAAGCATATCCTCACATACTTAAAACAAATATTTACATAAAGTCCAAAAGACAGTACCAAAAATCACTGTAATAATAATTGCATAAAGTCTCTGGGTTCATTGTCAATACAATCACTATGTCTTGTACATTAAAGAACATTTAGGTAGTGACTTTTCCATGTACATCAAGTAGAAAACTTGATATTATTGAGGTTCAATTTTTTCAAAAGGCATATATAAACACAAATGTATTTCATGTAATGAAATCCAATTGATCTACAAATGATTTATTTAAATTGATGAACACTTTCTGGAATATACAAGAAAATTAAAAGGACCTATGACATCCACAAATTTTTAAATAAGAAAAATAGAATATGAATGAAACTATGTTTTAAGACCTATTATATCAAGTGGGATATAGCTCAATAGTAGAGCTATATCTGCCTAGCGTGCAGAACGCCCTGGGTTTAATTTCCAGTGCGAGAGCCCACAATATTGATTATGCCTAAAACATGAAGTAAGCAGTGCAGGCTGAAAAGAGTTAAATCTCTTAATTGGCTTGCTTTAAGAAGCAAGTCTGACTGAAGCTATGTGACTCATAGAAATATCTCATGAGTACTGAGGTAGGACACAGGGCAATAGGACCTCCCTGCTAATGGCCTTGTCTGAGATCAGAATAATCACCTATGAAGCTGTGGGGCTAATGCGAGATGACATCCATAGCTGGGGTTGGAGTAATTACACCCAAATTTCATTCCCACAATTAGTTCCTTCATAGCTTGAAGGACAATGCTCTAATTACAACCGTATATTTTGTCTATCTTGCTTCTAATTTGAAAATGCTTTGACTCATTTTTACAGCCTTACCTGCATTGGTTTCCATGGAAATTTCATGTATTTCCCATCTGTACATATACTTTATGTGTAGTGGATTGACTAATGGGCAACATGTAATGCCCAGCTGAACTGAATCAGTGTGGTCGGGGAATGGAGGATCCACCTGAAGATTGTTACAAATAGCCATAGAAAGAGAGCTGGAGAAGGTCTTGGCCTGTTGATTTTCTAGGAGATCCTTGCTGTGGATGGTTTTCCTGATGTCAACTTTGCTGTTCTCTTTGGAGGAGGAGCTTGGGACCTCACTGTCTCTGAGAATGGCTACTGTTCTCATCAGGGGAGCTCTGATCTTCACCGTGAGGACCACTTCCTGGCTCCAATGTGGATCCCTTAGCTTGGTGGCACAAACCTTTCATCTCACCAGTGTAGATTGTCTGGATTCTACCACTGACCTTTGGGCCTTCCGGGTGCAGATCCTCAATACAGACAAGCAAGAGACATTGCTGTACGCTCTAGGTCACTGGGTGGACTCGAGGAAGACGTTACCTTGGAATCTAAGCCTTTAGCTGGAGTTATGTGGGAAACTGCTGGGATCTAGACCCTCAGCTGAATCCTTTGGGCTTCTATTGTGTGGTTAATCTCTTGTAGTCCTTTGCATTTGACTTTTTGGGTAATTATCATAAAATAATCTTAGAAGTTATGTGTCCTGTATTTAACATATTCCCTTGCCAAATCCTGCTGACTACAACACCCTGATTGATAAACAATAAAATTTGGTGGAAGAGACAGACCAGTGCCTTTTCCCCAAAGAGCACTGGCTGTCCCATTTCACACTTTCTCTTTAACTCTGTCTTAAGTTTTTCTTCAACCTTGCATTGCACAATAAGCAGGTGGACACTAGAGACTTCTGCTGGAGTCTCTGGCATCCAGCTCTGAAAAGTGGGTGGGGGGTTATTAAAGAATTTCAGGAAGATAGTGTTGTGCACCATAGCAACAAAGATAAATAAACAGAACAACCAAAAAGAAGAGTCCAGAAAAAAGACTCACAAATACCCAGTTATTTCTACAAAGATAGTAAATGGCATTATACGTTTATGTGCCATGTTTTCAATAAATTGTGAGGAGCAATTGGAAATGAAAATGACATTACGTACAGGTTAGAAAAATATTGATGCATATGGCATCAGATAAAAATATGAATAAGTGGAATATCATAGTCTGCAGGTATGAGTAGGGAAGCTTCTAGAGAAAGCATAGGAAGATCCCTTTAGGCCCTAAAAGTAGGCAAACATTTAAACAGGACACAAACATGCACACAAACTCACAGGAGAAAAAATTTTTTTATTTACATATTAATTGGTACATTTTAGGTATACAATACATTTACACTTATCATAGGGTGTTTGTACCTGAACATGATGTATCTTAGTTCTTATTTTTTTCCCCATTACCTGTGCGCTCTTCACCCCCACCACCCTTCCTATTTACATAGAGTGTGTTTCTTTTTTTTTTTCTTTAACATAATTTTTCCTTTCCTTTCTTCCCTTTCCCCTTCCCCTCCCACCACCCCTCCACCTTTGGACCTGTTCCTATGTCAAATTATCAATTATTCATTTTAATCATTTTCATCCTTATTTACACTTTCAGTTTCTCACACTAGAGATACTATTTGGTATTTACACATGTGGGTCCTATTTATTTCACTTAAGAGTATGGCCTCAATATGCATTCATTCAGCTATAAATGACTCTAGTTTCTCATTCTTTATGGCTGAGTATTACTCCATTTTATATAAAAAACCACATCTTTATCCAGTTTCCAGTTGATGGGCACTTGGGCTGTTTCCAAACCTTAGCTATTACATACTGTGCCGCTATAAACATAGGTGCACATATATCTCTGTGGTATGATTTTTTTAATTCTTTGGGGAAGATACACAGTAGAGGAATAGCTGAGTCAAATGTGACCTCTAGTCCTAGTTATTTGAGGTATCTCCATACTGATTTCCACAGTGGTTGCACCAGTCTGCACTCCCACCAACAATGGAGAAGGGTTCCT